CCCTTATAAAGAAACAGAGAAACCATTAGCAAAAATTCTCTCTTCAGAAACCACTATGGTTCCATCTCACTTTAAAATTTTATTTTTTACAAAATTCTATATCTAAATGTTTGAAGTTCCAACTCTAAAAATTTCTTTTTTACAAAAGTCCATATCTAAATGTTTGAAGTTCAAATCAGAATTTTTTTTAGATCCGTATTCTTTGTATTCGAAGTATTGCTCTGATTTTTCAGATTAAAAAAATAAAAAAATTAGTGAAAAAGTACTATAATCTGGTTCTCTCTCTAAAATTAATAGATTTTTTCAGATCCCTATTCTCTATTGTGAAGTATTCGATTGTTTTTCAAATAAAAAAAATAAAATCAGATGAAAAAAAAAGAGTATAATCTGAAAAAAATTTAGAGTTGGAACTTCAAACATTTAGATATGAAATTTTGTAAAAAAATATAATTTTAAAGTGAGATGGAACCATAGAGGTTTCTAAAGAGAGAATTTCTGCTAATGGTTTCTTTATTTCTTTATAGGGGTAGGAGGCTAGTATAATAATTATATATAATGAGAGACCCAAAAGGAAGTTAGCAGAAAAATAGTAATTAATTATCGGGAAAGGAAATACACGCATTAACTGCTAAAGTAACGACTGAGATTCCACAGTCGCGGGGGTGACTGTGATTAGCACCCCTCAAAATTAATCACACAATAAAATAATATGTAAATAAAGTAGAGTCTATAGTGACACCAGATTCGATAATATTTAGTATCAACTTTTAAATATTAATAATAATTCCTTCAGTTAATTATAGTCTTTTTTATTTGGGGTCACAATAGAATTAATTATTTTGAGTTTTGAGGGGCATATCACATACCTGTTGTGTAGTTATTGTTTTGTTTCTATAATATAGTTTACTTAATCACCAAGAATAGAAAAAATTAAAATATACTTAATCACCCTGAATAGACAAAAATAATAATAACATTACATTAATAGTAAAGGTAGTGGTTAAAACATACAATTAAAAACATAAGCTTGGCGAAAAAAATTCTTATAACAACTAAAACATGCTGGAAAAAAAATGAGCAATGAAAGAAAAACTAATCTCTTTTCTATATTAAGAGTCAATTGTGCAAGGGTCAATACTTATTGTTAGCCATTAATTGACTCTAAGGGGGGGGGGGGGGGGGTGAATTGAGCCAATGCCCAATTTTTTTCAATTTATAAAAAGTTATTTCTAACTAACTATCATGCAATAATTAATTGAGACATTCAAGCAATATATATCACAAGTGACAAGTATATAAAAGAGATAAAGATAAGAAATTGCAAACAATGACTCGGCGATTTAGCGAGGTTCGGAAACTCCTACTCCTCGGTAAGATCCCGCTTGAGACTTCCCAAATTCACTAGAGTTTCTCCTTAATAGTAGAGATCAAACCTTCAATTTGAAGCAATACCTTGCTTCTCTTCCTTGCTAGGAGAACACCCTTCTCCTAGGCTTTCTTTTGGGTCACACTAACCCTTTACAATAACTTATAATAGAAATGAAGTGTACAATGAATCTCTCAAAGACAGTAATACAAAGTTTAGCGCACAACTATAGTAAAGATGAATATATATATATGAAGCTCAGAATTACTAAAGTGGAATGAAATGTTAGAGAGGAAATGAAAGCTCAATGAATGTTTCTTTAATGATCTTCAAGGATGGTAGAATGCTCTCTCAAATGGTGTATTTAACTCTGCAGACCAACCATCTATATATAGAGAAATATCATGCTCAATATTGCTGTTAGAGGTAGTTGGGGATCAATAAATGAAAAAAAATTCGTTAGATTTCAAAACCCCAGAAGGAGCCGGCTCTTGTAAAGAAGAGGAGGCAGCTCCATTGCCTTGAAAGCCGGCTCTCCATTGCATAGAGCCTGCTCTTTGGTTGGAAGATTGATTTTTCGTTGAAAAATAGTTACTAGAATGTTGGCAGCCTGCTCTGTTTTTCATGGAGCCTGTTCCATTGCTGTATGAGACTTAAAATAAATTTATTTTAGCCCAATCTTCTCTTCCTATGATGTGTGGCTCATGTGTGAATGTGTTTATGAACTTTATGAGCTAATTTTATGTTCTTTGAAAATGAAATGAGAATGGTTATGCATGATCCTATAATTTTGAGCTTCAAGTATATATTCAACAATACCTTAACATTGAAGCCTAATTAAATCAATTGAGGCCGATTCTTTAGCTAATTCTTTTTCCTTTTTCAAAGTTTCATTTTCAAGTTAAGATTTTTCAAGGTTTTGAGAGATGATAAGCTTTTCTCTTCTAAGACTAGCACAATTTTGAACCATTTTGCCTAATTTTCATCATGTAATTCTTTAAAAGCATCTAGCAAATAGTTATATGCATCAACCAATTCATTATAAGAGGTTTCTAAATCAAATGAGTCGTGATTAGAATTTTCCTCATCTTCATCGGCCATGAGACAAAGATTGACCAATTCATTGCGTTCATCGTCACTTTCGGATCCATTTGAATCATCATCCTCCTATGTATGTCCCAGTTTTTCACAATGAAAACAAGTAGGTGCTTCTCTTTTTCCTTGCTCACTTGATGAACCATTTCTTTTGAAGTTGTTACTCTTTTGGTACTTCTTCATTTGAAGGACTCTTCTCACGATTTTGGTAATGAGATCAATTTCTTCTTCTTCTTCATCATTAGGAGTTTTATCAATTGTGACTTCTTTGGTAGTAGCTTGACGAGCTATATCTTGCTTTTGAGTTTCTTTGTCTTCATCTCTATCATTCATTTCTAGCTCATAAGCCATTAATGAACCAATGAGTTCATTCATGGGGAGTGTATTGAGATCTTTGGCCTCTTGGATGGCTATCTTCTTGGCTTCCCAATTTTTTGGCAAAGACCTAAGAATTTTTCTCACATTGTTAGACGATGTATATGACCATCCAAGAGCCTTCAAATGATTCACAATGTTAGTAAAATGAGAGTACATTTCACTAATAGTTTCTTTATTTTTCATGGTGAAAAGTTCATGTTTATAGACATGCATATTTATTTTGGATTCCTTAACATGACTAGTATCTACATAGGTAACTTCAAGTTTATCCCAAATTTCTTTGGCCGTTTCGCAATCCGAAATTCTATTGAATTCGTCATTGTTTAAGGCACAATAGAGATTAGTCATAGCCTTAACATTGCATTATACAAGCCTACGGTCATTAAGGGTCCATTCAATATCGGTTGTTGGAACATTTTCACATTTACTATTTTGGTTGGAACATTGTCTCCTTGTTCGGTGGTTTTCCAAACATCTATATCTACACCTCTTAGGAATGCTCTCATTTTGATTTTCCAATAGTTGTAGTCATTTCAGTCATACCAAGGAAGTCTATTGTTAGATTGACCTTCTTGATGAAAATTTGTATTGGTCATGGTCGTTCTCTAAGATGATTAAATTTTTTTCTAGAGATTAAGCTCTGATACCAACTATTAGCCACTAATTGACTTTAGAAGGAGGGGGGGTGTGTGAATAGAGTCAATGGCTAATTTTTTGCAATTTATAAAAAGTTATTTCCAATTAACTATCATGCAATAATCAATTGAGACATTTAAGCAACATATATCACAAGTGACAAGTATATAAAAGAGATAAAGATAAGAAATTGCAAACAATGACTCGGCGATTTAGCGAGGTTCGGAAACTCCTACTCCTCGGCTCAAGGTCCCCCTTGAGACTTCCCAAATTCACTAAAGCTTCTCCTTAATGGTGGAGAGCAAACCTTCAATTTGAAACAATACATTGCTTTTCTTCCTTGCTAGGAGAACACCATTCTCCTAGGCTTTCTTTTGAGTCACACCGATCCTTGACAATAACTTGTAATAGAAATGAAGTGTACAATGAATCTCTCAAAGACAGTAGTACAAAGTTTAGCTCACAACTATAGTAAAGATGAATATATATATGAAGCTCAAAATTACTAAAGTGGAATGAAATGTTAGAGAGGAAATGAAAGCTCAATGAATGCTTCTTTAATGATCTTCAAGGATGGTAGAATGCTCTCTCAAATAGTGTATTTAATTCTGCAGACCAACCATCTATATATAGAAAGAAATATCATGCTCAATATTGCTGTTAGAGGTGGTTGGGGATCAATAAATGAAAAGGTTTCCGGTCGATTTCAAAACCCCAGAAGGAGCCGGCTTTTGTAAAGAAGAGGAGGCGGCTCCCTTGCCTTGAGAGCCGGCTCTTCATTGCATGGAACCGGCTCCCAGCCTCTAAAAGCTTGCTCCCTATTTTGGGAGCCTGCTCTTTGGTTGGAAGACTGATTTTTTGTTGAAAAATAGCTACTGGAATGTTGGTAGCCTGCTCTGTCTTTCATGGAGCCTGCTCCATTGTTGTATGAGACTTAAAATAAATTTATTTTAGTCCTATCTTCTCTTTCTATGATGTGTGGCTCATGTGTGAATGTGTTTATGAACTTTATGAGCTGATTTTATGTTCTTTGAAAATGAAATGAGAATGGTTATGCATGATCCTATAATTTTGAGATTCAAGTATAGATTCAACAATACCTTAACATTGAAGCCTAACCACTCACCAACCTATCTACCCCTTTTCTTCATTCTTCGACCATGATCGTTTAGGCTTGAGGAAGTCGTGCTTTCTTTCTTTGAAAATATTTGAATGATCGTTGTAGTCCGAGTGATGATTTGATATGCCTCTGATCACTTGAATCGATTGTTTGAAATATTCGGAATAAACTCTAACTCATCACATTGTATCCATTGCTTGGAATGCTTGGATTTAGACCTTATAGCTCATCATTGAATCTATACATTACTTAATGAAGATATTAGTACTAGAACAACATGAATGTTTTGTAATCAAAATATTGGATTGATCTTTTAAATAAAATCCTTAAGGCCAACACTTATATTTATATTTTGTCAAATTTAATTTTTTTTAAAAAAACTTGTAAAACGCGCGGATTACATAACTAGTTAAAGGTTCTCTCAAAGGCTCTCAACCTATGATCATTCAACCTCGTCTTCAAAGCTGAGTTTTTATATTCCGCCCAAGAGAAGTCCGTGTAGAGATACTCTTCCCCCTCTTCCATTAGTGAGGATATCGGTGTTATCTTCTGGGTCAAAGGTGGTGCTCCAAAGAAGATCATTGATACCCTTGATTTTGAATTGTGAGATAAAACTCTATGCTTTACACTTCTAAATCTTCCATTAGTTAACACCTGCAACCAGCGCCCCAAATCAATTAGAATTTTACCAAAAATTTACAATATTAAATTAAAAATTACCACCATTATGTATACGTTTGTTCGATTTTTTGAAAAAAATAAAAATAACTAGGGTAAATAAATAAGTTAAAAAGAGAGAAAGCTATGTTTTACCTGCAAAACATCCCCAATGTTAATGAAAAAAGAGAATGGATCAGGTGGGACCGAGACCCATGTCCCATCACAAAGAGCGATTTGAAGTCCACATGTATTGTTTGATCTAAGGACTGAGATTATTTGGGGGTCTGTGTGTTCCCCAAACCCAATAAAATTTTGGTTTCCAAATGCTTGAAGCTCAGGACACGGTGGATAATGATTTATCCTGAGAATCGAGTCACTGTTATAATCTCTCAGGAGCTTACTCAAAGCATTCCTGGGCCCAATCTTCAGAGCATCAACAATAAGTTCCAAAACTTCAAAACACATGTTCTTCACTGCAGATACATAATCGTTGAGAGCAGACCTACATCATATATAAACAGAGCAATACATGAATAATTTAGTATTTTTAAGAAAGAAAGAATACAATTTTTTTTTGTTTTTTTAAATAATCCTTACCAGAAAATTGCTGGGTTTTGTGTGGAAATGGAGAGAGATGTCTGGCAAAGGAGTTCAGGGTTGGTGCTGAACAGGAGGTATTCAAGCCAACCCATATCTCCATTTTGTCCAATTGTCTTGTTAGCATATCCAAAAGGATTGAGAGGGCCAGCTTTATCTTTGTCTGGCTGTTCCAAGTCGAAGAATTTTATAGCTTCGACTTCCAATCTGGAAGTAATATCTATGGATACACCATGATTTATTAGCTTAAAAAAACCAAACTGTTGACAGGCGTCAACTATATGGTTCTTGGCGTCCGGACTGGAAAGGTTTATCACTGGAATTCCAGTGAAATGGTTGATGGAGGGGTTATATGGTTTGATAAGAGCGAGCTTTTCTAGTCCAGCTGTTTGGGGTAGAGCCAACATGTTAATGTTATAGAGAGAGAGACAGCGACAGAGAGGAGTCTTTTTAGGTTGAGAGAATGAGAGTTAGAGTTGAGAGTTGAGGAAGGGTTGAATGAGAATTGTTTGGGGGTGTTGGGTTGTGGGGGTGGGGATGGTGGTGGGGGTGGGGGTATTAATAGGCGAATGCTCGCATAAGAGGTGAGGCGTTACTAATTATAAGGGGACGACATCTGGCTTTCCGTCTTTGCTCATCCATTTATAATTTCGAGGGAGGAATGCTTTATTTTTTCCGATTCTTTGCCAGGTAAAACAGAAAAAATAATGGGGTATAATTTAAGGTATTTAATTAAAAATGATTTACTCTATATATATATATATTTTTTTTGGCTGGCATCGAAACTTACCTTGGTAGTGTCCCTTGGGGACCCACCCCAGACTACAAATAGGGGATGTTGTTGACAACATCACACTTCAGAAATAATTTCAGTCGAGAGTTATAATGGTGATGGACGAGTTTGAAATTGGGATAGGACCCTTCCCAAGTCATTACCTTACTAACTCGGTCAAGTTCCCGGAGCAAATAATTTACTTTTGCATTAAAAGTAAGTGACATTTTTTTTTTTTTAAATACTTTACTCCACAGTCTCCACTGTTATTTCTCAGAAAATACTACTACTTGAGTTGAGTGGTATTGTTTTATTTTATTGTGAGAAAAAAAAAAAAAAAAAAACCCCTTATATAATTAAAGAGTACAAAAATACTGTGTGAATATTCACATAAAATGTGAAAAGATAAAATAACATATAAATTCACATTATATCCAGCTATTAATTATTATTATTATTTTTTTTTTGGGAATTATTACAAGTTTCAGTTAACTTTATGCACAGTTTTTATATTACTAGTAAAAACACAATTGTGTGTATAATTGTAAAGTAAAAAAAAAAAAATGTAAATGATATATATATATAAGAATAATTTTATATTATTTAAATTTTCATTTATTGAATTTCAGTAGGTTAATTTTTAAATATTATTATATTTTATTTCTCTAATTAAATTTTCTTTTATTGAATTGTAGTATTTTCTCATACTATATTATTATTAGTAGTATTTTTAATATTATGTATATTTCTTTTCTCTAATTAAATTTTCTTTTATTGAATTTCATTGCTTTAATGTTTTAACATATATATACATAATGGGCATATGAGGGTTTACTTTTTTATAAATTACAAGAAAGTTAAATTGGTAATGTTATAAATATAATAGATTTGATTTTTTAATCGAGATAATTAGTTTGAAATAGCTAAAAATATAAAGATGGACGCTGTTTATAAAAGGGAGTGTGTGTGTATATATATATATATATACACACACACACATTTATGGACTTGGATCTGTTAAATTTTTTTTAAGTTTTCCTAAATTGAATTCTCTGCATATGGACAAGTGATATTTAAAATCTATCTACTACTTTTGTTAAACTACGTCAACTAATTTAACCAAAGTTTAAAAACTGCACCATTTTGAAATAAGAAAAATTCACCATACTTTAAGGACACGAACGTCTCCTCTTGCTCATTCCCACGACTGGGAGAATATTTTACATCAAAAATGAATATTCTTTCTCACGATTTTTTGCGAAAAAGTCTCCTCTTGCTCATTCCCAAGACTGGGAGAATATTTTACGCCAAAAATGAATAATCTTTCCCATGATTTTTGGCTCCTAGAAGCTCTGATTCACTCTTTTTTTCTTAAATCTAAATTGCAAAATTTCTCTCTTTATTCACTCTTTTTTTGAAATCCAAATTGCAAAATTCCTCTCTTTTTTGAAATTTAAACTGCAAAATCGCTCTAGTTCACTCTCTTTTTCTAAAAATCTAAATTGCAAAATTCCTCTCTTTTTTCACTTTTTTTTTTTTTTTTTTTTTTTTTTTTTCTTCTGAAATTTAAGTTGCAAAATTCCTCACTTTTTTTTAAATTTAAATTACAAAATTCATTACAGAGCCTTTTAATTTGCACAATTTATTTTTGGCCCGAAGTATTCACCCAAGCAAGAAGAGAGAGAGAGGCAGCGATCTTTTTCGGAAAAGATGAGGGAGAGAAAACTTAACGTCGTTAAAGTATGGTAAATTTTTTTTTTGCAGTTTTCAAATATTTGTAAATTTTTTTTTATATCAAAACAGTGCAGTTTTTAAGTTTTTTTTTTTTTAAATAGTTGACGTGGTATAACACAAGCAGTAAATAGATTTAAATATTAGGTATCAATTTGTAGATTATTCAACTTAGGATAGCTAAGAGAAGATTTAACTTAAAAAATCCAAGCCTTAAATTTTCTGGTAATAATTCGTTACAGAGTGTTGGTATTCTTTCTTTCTTAAAAATACTAAGTTATCCTTGTATTGTTAAAAATACTAAATTACTATTCTTGAATCACACATGTTCTGAAATATTGAATTGATAGTTGATTCTTTTGACCGAAGAATGCTTTGAGAAAACTGTTGAGACTCTATTTTTAAGATAAATCACCACCGGCATATTTTAAACTGTAAATTTTAATACCAAAAGTTATATTAAATTTGGAGAACAATACTCTATTTTTTAAGTTGGATTTTGGAAGTGTTCCACCTCCATCCTGCAGCATGTGAAGAGGGCGTGCGTATGTTGTTGTAAATAAATAAATAAAAGTTATAATAAATTTGGAGAGATGTTTTTCTTTAGCCACATTTTATTTATTTTTTGCACCTTTTAGTTTTATGATTATTATTATTTTATTATTATTTTTGAAAAGTTCCTGTTTTTATAATTAATGTGATGTTATCACTTATGGATATGCCGGTATGTAAAAATAATAATAATAATAATAAAATAAAATAATTCATAGTCTCTGGGTTTTTTAACGGGAGTAAATTGTTTAACCAAACACTTGCAAAATATTTACACCGAACAAACATTTGTAATAAATTATTTAATCGAATAATTTTTAATTAATTATTTATATTAAATATAATTAAGTAGAGAGTTCAACTTTTCTATTTATTATATAAATAATTAATTAAAAAAATAGTTTAGCAACTCACACCAACTATCCTATCTACTCGAACACTACACTGAAAGTGTGTTGAATCAAGAGTAAGCCTCTTATGCAAGAATCAACACAATATTTTGAAACCACTTTATTAAATAAGAGTTTATCCATCCAACTTCTCTCCACCTCACTCCACCCAATTTTCTGACCGTCAACAGAGTTTATCAAGAGTAGAGTGCCTGCACGTGAAGGCCCACGAATCTCACGTGTCGTCACACACAGCAATAATTGATTTACATTTTCTATAGAAATTGATAATTCTTTCATCACTTATTTTATATTATATTTGAATAAATCATGAATAAAAAATAAATAAACAGTAATGTTTTTGTTTGAAAAAGGTGAACAAGTGAAAAGAAAAAAAAACGATTTTAACCAATTTATTATCATACGTTTTTTTTCTTCTTTTTTTTTTTTTTTTTTTTTTTTTTTTGGTATTTATATTACAAAATAGAATACAGTACATAAGTAAATATCTAAAATTGTAAAATAAATAATAAATAATAATATCTAACCTATATTTTTGCATATAATTATCAACATAAAAAAAATGTAGGTTAGATATTATTCTTATTATTTATTTTACAATTTTAGATATGTGTACTGTATTCTATTTTACTCTTAAAAAAAGAAAAAGAAAAAGAAAAAGTCATACATGCCCTCTTCACATGCTGCAAGGTGGAGGTGGAGCACTCCCAAAATATATGTTAATATATTATATTTCCTTCTATATGTATGTATGTATATATATTACATATTGAAGATGCAAGAAATTCATACTCTCTTTCTCTCTCTAGAATTCTTACATTTCAACAAAAAGATCTCCCTTATTCTTTCCATTCCTTCTCCTATTTATAGATATTTACAAGATATTTACAAATATTGACGGATTGCTGGATCTGGGCCTGTTCCTCCATAAGTCCTGGTCACCTTTGATGGGCTTATTCGCGTTCGGCCCATATGGCAGTGTCTTTTTATGGGCCGACCCAGCTATACGGACCGGATGTCGTGCTTGCAAGTCAGATCCGGCCCATGTCGTCCTGGGCCTCCTCAACTGCCCCCATAATTGCCCCTTATTTAATAAGGGGGTAATTATTGATGGCGTCTCATCATGACGTTGACGGCTCGAGAAAACCACGTGGGGGAACGGACGGTCAGATCCAGAATCAATGTTCCGGGGCTCGATGAATTTTTCGCCTTCCTGACGCTTCGGCCCTCGGGCCCCCCTCGCCTTTATAAGGCTCTAGAATACCACTCCACGCCTTTTTACCGTCTCCATCATCAGTCAAATCTCTCTCTTTTTAGAACAGTGCTAAGCTTTTTCTGGTGAAATCCTTCAAGAGTCATTCTTCCAGCGATCTTGCAGTCCTCAGAGGTTAGTTTTGTTCTTTTTTACTTTCGGCAGGCTTCTAATTACCCCCTTTTAGATCCTTCAAGCACTTCCACCATGGTTGTAGATCTGGATGTTCTTCGTATGAGACTTAGACTTCCTTACAACATCGAAGTTAGGGTTTGCCCTAAGGACGTTAACATTATGACCGGTGCCGGCCTCCTGCCCGGCGAAGTCTTATTCACGAACCTTCAATTGAATGTCGTTAGGTTCCCTCTGCACCCTTTCTTTAGTTATGTGTTCAATAGATTGGGGATATCCCCCCTGCAGGTAAACCCCAATTTCTTTAGAATCATATCCGTTATGCTCCTGTTGATGCGTGACAGAAATCTGGACCTTGACCTCATAGATCTTCTTCTGTGTTATAAGGTCAGTAAGATCCGTACTAACGAACCCTTCTACCACCTCTACCCGTTCGAGAAGATGTCCATATGTACGGACACAGTAAAATCTGAAAAGGGTTGGAGGGATAGCATCGTGGGCATTAGTGGGGCTTGGTCTTCGCCGGCTGCAGAGGGTTACCCAATCCCGAGCGCCTTT